GGAAGAGGGGGAAGGGCATACATCAACTCCAAAGCTGCAACGGTATATAGCGATTATAACAGGGTGTTGTGAACTTCATCGATCAGGGGTAGGGGAGAATTATTTCTCCTTTATTTTCCATCATATTAGTTACAGGCTTGACTGAACGTCGCACTCTAAACAATTTCCTCCACTGTTTTCTTCAGGTTCAACTACGAGATTGTACAGATTGTCTGATGTACTCCTACACCAAGATGCCATGTTCCACAAAACGTTTTCACTCAGCTCAATTTACGGTGGCCAAACCTGACGAACCTGGTAAGTTTTTATTCATATGCATGATTTATAAATAATCATCTGCAGCATCATCAACGTCATCGTCGTCATTATCAGCATCATCAACGTCATCGTCGTCATTATCAGCATCATCAACGTCATCGTCGACATTAGTATCGTTATAAAAGTCATCGTTGACATTAGTATCGTTATAAAAGTCATCGTCGTCATAAGCAGCATCATCAACGTCATCGTCGACATTAGTATCGTTATCAAAGTCATAGTCGACATTAGTATCGTTATCAAAGTCATAGTCGACATTAGTATCGTTATCAAAGTCATAGTCGACATTAGTATCGTTATCAAAGTCATAGTCGACATTAGTATCGTTATCAAAGTCATAGTCGACATTAGTATCGTTATCAAAGTCATAGTCGACATTAGTATCGTTATCAAAGTCATAGTCGACATTAGTATCGTTATAAAAGTCATCGTTGACATTAGTATCGTTATAAAAGTCATCGTCGTCATAAGCAGCATCATCAACGTCATCGTCGACATTAATATCGTTATCAAAGTCATAGTCGACATTAGTATCGTTATCAAAGTCATAGTCGACATTAGTATCGTTATCAAAGTCATAGTCGACATTAGTATCGTTATCAAAGTCATAGTCGACATTAGTATCGTTATAAAAGTCATCGTTGACATTAGTATCGTTATCAAAGTCATAGTCGACATTAGTATCGTTATCAAAGTCATAGTCGACATTAGTATCTTCAACTATAGCAACTGTAGTTTGATTCTGCTGACGACTGCTAACGTGTACCACAAACTAACTGTAGGCTTTTATCACTTGCACGTTTATCGTCCAGAATGCTTTAGCGAGTTAGACTAGGTTTTGACGGACAATGGCGGACTCTTACCATATGTTTAAATAATAAGTGTGCGCGTGCATCATTCTGTTTATTTGTTAACCACGTACATTATTTGACCTATTTCTGTTACAGAGGGTTCGATCACCACGCCATTGACACCGCACTATCACAAAATAGCACCATTGCCCACAAACTATACTACTATCATCGTGGCTTCGTCTTGTACAGCTTTTACACTTATTATTGTGTTTGTCTTCGTTTACTTCCGCCTCTGTAGTAAGTATACCTATTGCTTTTGTAATTTGATGTAAGTATACGTTTCACGAGAATCATAATGAAAAGAGTTCAGTGGCCTGCTACCAAAATGACATTAAAGGGAGACGGTTGTTAAAATATTTATTTTACCAGCTGACATAGTGCTTTATTCCTTTTCAGAATGAAATTAGTTTGACTGCCATACACTACCAGAACTTACAAAACCTTTTTATTCAAGGATTTGTTACAAACACCATAAATACAGTAATCTTATTTGTCGATTTCAGTTCAGTTTTAGTTAAATATTAAATTACGTTTCTGAGAAACTGGTCGCTGGTCGCTGGTCGCTAACAGTTTTTGTTTTTTTTTACAGGGAAGAAATGTGACGATAAAGAATCAAAAGTAGATCAATACAGATCTTTAAACCCAGACGGTAAGGGATTGATTCCATAATGGAAGGTTATATATAATACACTAAGAAACCTGATAGTAATGAGATAAAGGCTCATTAAATGTATTTACAGAACTCGTTTTACAAGATTAAAACCATCACAATACCTCTATAAAAGAAAGACTAATGTATCGGTGAGATAGTCTCGATGTCAGCGGATCTACGGAGACCTGTAAACTACACATAGCGAATATTGTTTGTTTTATCACTTGTACCGACTTCTTTTTATTCTTTTAAATTTAGGAATTCTGGTTTCGCCAATTAAAAACAACAAAATTCTGGTTCTGTACCAGGCAGACGACAAGGATCATCTGAACGCTGTTCATAGTTTCTGTAAGCTACTTCGATTGTGCAACACCGAGGTGATCTTGGACAGAGAGCAAGTATCAGAAATCGCCGAATACAACAAAGAAGGGTGGACACGAAAGCAGATTTCAGAATGTTCAGCTGTAGTGGTCGTTTTGTCTCGAGGTTTGTTAGAAAAATGTCGGGAAAGGCGAAGAAAAACGCCAACAATTGTAAAATCTAAATTCAGATCGGATGCGTTCGACGACCCTTTCTTTAACATGTCCGCGCTTGGACTCGCGTGCATGCATAATGCAAAATCGTTTCATGAAAAGACTGTAATTTTCGTATCTTTTGGCTACGGAATGGATATTGTCAAAGATCTATCGCAAATATTTCCGTCGATGGTTAAATACGTCCATTCGGTTACTAGCGAACCTGATGTTTCGCCATTGGTCAAAAATCGAACGAAGCGCGCTCTGAACCTACAAACACTCAAACCATATTTGTCTATGGAACATTCGGCTAGTCTTGAGGCCATCTCTAGAAGTGAAGCCGCAAACGAATTCCTGTTTCATGTCGGTAAAGTTATGCATCGTCGAGAGGACGTTATAATGATTTAAAACATCCAGTACACATACTTTCATTCCCAACATAAACAAGTGTCATTGTACCAATATGCCAGCTAATTGAACACAATTGTTTTTTATGGTCTAGTCCGAAAAACTGTCATTGTATGAGGTCACGATAATTTGATATTCCCTAGTCTCATTCTGACCACAGAAAACTGTCATTATACCAAACAATCAGCTACCAAACATAGTCTGCCAAGAAATTATGAATGCATCCAAGCCAATGAGAACATAAAACTCATTATTCTACTTTTCAATATCAGCTTCTGTTTAGGACTTAAAGACAGTTGCATATCGCTGGTGTTTTTGCTTATTTTTTTTATTTATTTATTTTTTTGACACTCTGTGTGACCCTGAATGTGACATATACTGATCTCTTATCCACTTTTGAGTGGGTAATTAGCCAACATTGGTTGGTGTACAGTGTGAAGGAATGTGTGATTATTGTTCATGGCGTAGGTAGGAAAGTAGAAATAGGCGAGGTACGGTGGGTGTCCTGTTAGGCTGTAAGGTGCAGGAGAGATTAGAAAAAGCAACCGTGCCAGCATCATTATGTACCTCGTCTATTTCCACGACTTCGTTTCGCAACAAACACTCCTGATGGTCAAATGACGTCAATATATCTGGACAAATTCAAATATGCATTTACAGTGTATTTCCTTGATCTCGTTTTTTCAAGCTGTTTTTTATGTTTTATTTATAAGGGCCAGGTGCGCCATTTTGGGTGGTTGATTTTGGTGTTGAAGTACTAGAAATGTAAGAAAATCCCACAATTCCTTAAAAAATACTTCAAACTAGGGATTTTACCCACTCTTTTAATATATATATCACAGAGTCGTCATTTTAACATTCAAATTCTGGACACACATGGATTTGAAGATTCAAATTTCTACGGTGAGCTGTGAACACTATTACTGATTAGCTTAGGTAAAAAAATATCCTGTTTCTGAGACTAAAGTATGATTGGTCAAAAAGAATGGTGCATCTGTCCCTTTCTTTCAGAAATTCTAAGAGGTTTTGTAATATTTGCATTGTATATCGAGAACACTTTTAGTTTATATCTGCACCATTAAGATTTCCAGTCTCATATCTATGGTTCCCTTATATTTCCAACAAAGAATTATCAATTAGCTTGCAATGGTACACCAACCTGACGTCGAAATGTATTCTGCTAAGTGATATGGGTGGCTAACATATAGTTATAATATTTAAATAAGCAATGATAATCGAAATACTAGATTTAATTATTTTATACTAATTATGATCTCATTTTATGAATATTATATTATTATATCAAAAGTTTTGTTGTTCGGCAACTCTCGGTAGTTTCCGTCAAGTATAATCCAGCTCTGTCGTTAGAATCTGGACACAGTGCGGGAAATATGTCCACAGTAGCAGAGCGGTAGTTAGCATCTTTCGGTAGACCGCATAAATTCGAGATTTTAATTGGGAGATATTTATTTGAGGAATACGTACACGACGTGTGTGTGTTTGTGGAGATATCTTGGCAAGGTCTAGAGGCTAAACAATTCAACACCTCCCTTGTATCACAGAGGTCTATAAATGTAGCCATTTGAATGTATTGTATTCCAGAAAATACAGTCAATCAGAGGCCTCGAGTCTGTAATGCAAAAGTCATAATGTATACTGTCTTTCTGTCGATGGCTATAATTGACTGTATCAGCTTATCATGTTAAGAGCAAGGGAATACGGAGGAAGATGTATGATTGGGGTAAGGAGTCAACTTTTATTTCGTTGTTTAAAGTCATAGTAATATAATAAATAATTCTAGATTCTTTCGTATCGATTTTTTTTCTAACCAAAGTAAAGTTGATTGGTTAAGTTTATGTTGTGATGAGAACTAGACATAGCTATAGACAAAAGCCTCTCCGTGTCTCTCAAACAAATGATCAAGTCGCAACTAAACCAAAGAACACCTTCCATTGTGGTCTCAAGAATTTCACTTCAAGATTTACTTCCCTTTAGTTGAAAACGCTCATGTTGTGTATCATGCATAACCAAAATATTTCTTAACGCTCACATAGGATTGTTTCAGTGAACTGGATATACCCACCATATGATCTTCACAATATCAAGTTATCACGAACTGCGTCAGATACAAGAATGGTGTTTGACACAGTAAGTAATAGTTTGACATAGTGAAGATGCCACCATAAAGGATGGGTTCATTTGGAAATGGAACAGAAGTGCCCAACTACTATTGGAATAATAACGAGGCATTTTAGTATTTTTTTTTTTATTTGATACATTTTATGATCGTGGTCGTTCCTTCTTGCCTCTGAATAAAGCCCACAGTGAAACGTTAGCCACTTTAACGATTTTAAATCGTACACCAGGAATATCTCCCACAGCGTGACCTGATCGACCGAATCCAGCAACCAATACTTCATCGTTTTCCTGAAATTCAAATAGGTATATTGATATAAAGATAATGGTTATTTAACTTCTATAATACAATAGGTTTGTAAGAAAAGGAACTATGATTCTATCTTACGTATGCAAATTTATAGTTATTCAGCCTACTTTTTGGCACAGGTATTTATCTAAGAAATATGATGTTATACAGTGTGCAATTTGGGAAACTTTACCTTGACTTCCTTTCAGTCATAAGATAAGAGGGCAAGGACATACAGTGAGCAAAATAATTGTATCAAGATCATCAGCCTTTTCTACGAATTCTAACTGTTGATTGAATTTTTAATTCAAGTCTGTAACACATGGGCGCAGAATGCAGAGATTTGCTTGGATTGAACACTAGTACTCAATCTTATCAAATTGCCACATTAAAAATACAAGAAAAGTCTCAATAGCAAGACATTGTGAAGATGAACAGAGAATTTGCTGGAAAAATACCCACCTCAATAAAGTTTAGACAACCATCATTAGGAACGAAGGCTGTAATTTTCTTTCCATTTTTAATGAGTTGAACTCTGACACATTTTCTGATAGCGGAATTGGGCTGTTTGGCTTCAACACCACTGAAAAATAAGATAAATATAATGTAACTATTGATGCATTAGCAAGGGGAACACAAAAGCAAAATAAGCCAAAAATTTCTGTTTACATTGGGATTGTACTAAACAACATTTTTTTTCAACCATGTAGCAGTGGAAGGCAGGGATTGGTTCTTGGAAGAAGACTGAATGTCATAAAACTGGATATAGTACCGTACCGGTAATCTATTTAACACTTATCACCTTTCTATTGAACTCTTCCACACCTGCATATATTTCATCGTTATTAAACTGAATATTATAAAATAATGGAAGAGCTCATTTCTAAAATTAGATCCCTCTCCAACCACCATTACCTTGCAACACTGACCTAGGGATCAGAATTAAAAATATAAAGTCAGGAAAATGAGAAACCTTAATGCAACTTACACTTTTTCCAAAACGATGCCCTTGGCATGGGAAGAGCCCTGGAAGGGATTGGCCTTCCATCTGGTTCCAAAATGAGCCTTCTTGTAATCCTTATCGTGCCATTTCTGTACTCTTCTGTGTCCTCTTAGTTTCCGGGCTGTGTGTAGCCCTGAAGGTTTACCTGAAAATCAGAGGAAATATTTCGTTTAAAACCTTACTCCACTATATCTAATAATCTTTTCAGAAACACTCTGGAAAAACTGATTAGCTCCAGTTGAATTTTAGAGGATCCAAATAATGAGATACAGAAGAATTTCGTATGACCATGTGTATTATTTATTGCAAGTGTAGAAATATGCTGAAAAAGCATGAAAGGATGCACCAAGCTCAACATATTAATAACATGGTTAATGGTTTCCGGTCACAACTAGCCTAATGAAAGAAAGCATGGATATCAATTTGAGAAATATTCAATTTTCATAATCATTATGGCAATGGTCCATTTTGCTAACAAAGCCATGCTTCCAATGATTTTTCAGTCAGAAGTCCAGACAACTACCATAATCCAAATTTAAACATAAAGTTGCAGAATTTTCATCGCAATAATTGAACCCCTAAGCAATATTTTGATGTTAGCCTAATGCCCACAAAATGGACGACGAATCATTATTTCCTTCATTACGGTTGGGGTCCGATTGAAATTATCGTCTTTTTTAAACCTTTCAATTATTGTAAGCTGTATCTATGCACGGTGGGGGGGTTTAGCATTGTTCTTTTTCAATAAATTTTAGTTATTTCTACAGGAAAGTAAGAAATATTCTTTTAATTTTTAGACACCACGTGTTTCCACAACATACCCATGATGGCGTTTCAATGTAAAAGACTGATTCTCGGAAATTCTCGCATGATATCACGAGATTAAGGCGGCGTTCGATCGACAAGTTCGTAACCAAAATAATAATCCGACTTTTCTGATTGTGTAGTTCACTGGGACTGGTGAAGACTTGATAATCAAACCGGAAGCTCATCGTTAACAACCACAAATAAATAAATATATGCCGGTTGCTCTATAAATTCATGAAATTCCAAGCAGAATGTTTTTCTGCAACAAAATGGAGACTGTAAAGTCTCGGATTACTAGTCAAGTCAAAGCAGCTAATGGTTTTTTGGACGTTGAAATTTGTAATTATGGCAAAACGGACTACTCAGGGAATGTAAGACTGTACGATTACCGGGATATCCCCAATTTCTTGAGTGGGAATCCCTTTATTTTGAGAGGATACAGAGCGAACCTTCCCATATCAACATGTATCAGAAGTTTATTTATGTGGAGCAACGAAACAATCAATATATGGTCACATTTGTTAGGATTTTTGTTATTTTTTTGTTTAATGATAAACGATTTAGTTTTTACCCTACCGAGCTATAAAACTCATGTTACAGACTATATTGTTATAACATTTGGATTGTTGTGTTTTCAATATTGTATGTTATGTTCAACTGGATATCATATTTTTAACTGTCATTCAGAAAAATGTTGTCAATGGTGGCTTGGTATTGATATGGCAGGTATATCAGTGGGTGTTATTGGATGTTATATACCAGCGTTATACTATGCATATTACTGTATCACAATATGGAGAGATATTTACATGTTTACAATCGCAGTGCTAACTTTAGGTACTCTTATCCTTCAACGTGAACCAGAATTTAAAACAAGACGTTGGTTTAAAATACGAGTGCTAATTTACATAGCGTTAACGGCGATTGGTGTAATACCCACAATTCATTGGATATATCTTAACGATGGTTTCAACGCTTTCATAGTTCAGTTATTTATTCCCAAAATTATTGTGTTATATTTATTAGGGATGGTAGCTTTAACATTTTATTTATCTAAGTTTCCAGAGCGTTATTATCCTGGCACGTTCGATATGATTGGATCTAGTCATCAATGTTGGCATTTTGTTGTTGTTTTAGCGTTTATTTGGTGTTATTATTCTGGACAAGAAATTCTGTTATATAGAATTCACAACACCTGTATTTTATGATTCTGCTGTTATCTTAGAAACAGTAATTGACTGTGAATTGGTGCAATAGCATCTGTTGTATTGATTTTAAAGGGATTGTAAAAAGGTTTTCTGAATTATTTATGTGAATCAGATACACTGATTGATTCAGTCAATTGATTGGTTTCTGTAATTATAATAAAGCTTCACTGTTTAAGATGTCATTAATATTGCATAAGCCACTTTGATTGTATTTAAGGGGGTTTGTGATAGTTCCTGCTATGACATAAACCACCTAGGTTAGGGGAACTGCAAGACCGAAAGACGTCTGACTAAAAATTGGATTGGTGCAAATTGATGCAAACATCAGTGTTCCAGATACACATAAAAATTTGATAAAACCTCCTTAAAATCACCTTAAATATTTCATCATAGAAGACTGTGTTGCAAAAGTTTACCATATTATTCTGATATAAAATGGAAATGTCTTCAAACAAACAGCGCCCAGCCTAGCCCCCAGCCCCAGCCCATTTTTGTTGTTTACTTAGTCCATCAAACCTGTAATCATGGATCCAGTGTCAGATATGTTATGATACACAAACAGTGTTAGAAGATAAGACCCTAGGATATCCTAGAAACAGTGTTAGAAGTTAAGACCCTAGGATATCCTAGAAACAGTGTTACAAGTTAAGACCCTAGGATATCCTAGAAACAGTGTAATAAGTAAAGACCCTAGGATATCCTAGAAACAGTGTTAGAAGTTAAGACCCTAGGATATCCTAGAAACAGTGTTAGAAGTTAAGACCCTAGGATATCCTAGAAACAGTGTTAGAAGTTAAGACCCTAGAATATCCTAGAAACAGTGTTAGAAGATAAGACCCTAGGATATCCTAGAAACAGTGTTAGAAGTTAAGACCCTAGGATATCCTAGAAACAGTGTTTAACTATTGATTTAAAAATGACTGATCATGTATGTAATTTATTATTGATATGTTTTTCATTGTGAATAATGTTTTATTATTTGATTATCAAAAAGGAGCATGTATCAACTGTTTGTTATATTTTAAATATCAAAATACTATAGTTTATTTGACTGTGATAAATATATATGATGCAAATATTCGTTCCTACGCCTATTAATGGTTTAGTTATGCAAAGAGAGTTGAGGCCACATGTTTTTTTGGTGCAAAAATTTTTTAATTACATTTTAGATGTGTTATTATTTATTTCTGCAATTTTTGATTTGTTTTTTTAAATAAATATCGATGATTTTATTCAGATTTGTATTTTTTTTCTGTCGCTGACATTGGAATAAACTACTAGTTTTTTCTATAAACAGACAATAGTACAACAGTGGACAGAGTACACAGAGTTAGGTGATGTCTGGTGTTTCTATAAACAGTACAACAGTGAAACACTCTCTAGAATATAACCCAGAGTTAGGTGATGTCTGGTGTTTTTATAAACAGACAATAGTACAACAGTGGACCACTCTCTAGAATATAACCCAGAGTTAGGTGATGTCTGGTGTTTTTATAAACAGACAATAGTACAACAGTGGACCACTCTCTAGAATATAACCCAGAGTTAGGTGATGTCTGGTGTTTCTATAAACAGACAATAGTACAACATGGGACCACCCTCTAGAATATAGCCCAGAGTTGGGTGATGTCTGGTGTTTCTATAAACAGACAATAGTACAACAGTGGACCACTCTCTAGAATATAACCCAGAGTTAGGTGATGTCTGGTGTTTCTATAAACAGACAATAGTACAACAGTGGACCACTCTCTAGAATATAACCCAGAGTTAGGTGATGTCTGGTGTTTTTATAAACAGACAATAGTACAACAGTGAAACACTCTCTAGAATATAACCCAGAGTTAGGTGATGTCTGGTGTTTTTATAACTGACAATATTTAGCCCGAAAGAGTTTTTAAGTTACGTCTTTAATTTACTGGATACGTTTTGGTTTTCTTCATCTCAAACACGGTCTCATGACATGTCACGTGATACGTATATTTATTCAAGATGGCGATTCAGAAATTGACACTGTTGGCAATGATTTCTTCTATTTTAATTTTGAGCTTTTGCTCTGCATCTCTGGCTGATAATGTACCGGTTTTAATGTGGTCTCCATCAAGGTTCGTATTAGCACTTTTCTGAATTTTAATTTTTCCAATAGGCCTAGCACGATCTTGATAATGATATAGTTTTTGTCGTGTAATCTGAGATGACATTGACCATTGGCGACAATGACAGCTGTCTGACTCTTGCTTGCTGAATGTTGTAGCCTGGGTTAAGAAGTCACAGATATTTACTTTGAACATAAATTTCAGAATGGTGAACACTTCATAATACAATGTTGCACTGTATATAAGAAAAACTCCCAAACGTAATTCCAGTAGGTCAACTGAACATTGTTCAAAACTACCATGACTACCCTGGTATTTTATCGGACTGACTGATGTTAACTTGTCATCTACCAAACAACCTGACTGATAATACCAGTATAAATTCTATATTCTCTAACCCTCTAGCTTTTAGATATACTATGTTTTTTATCAGCCAGAGATAAGTAAAATTAACAATAATACGGGCTAGAGTTAGATCATATTAAAGAGATATAGTCTCTGTCATTTAAAGATTTTTCGTACCAGCTTTTCAGTTCTACTTGGATGACCAGTCTTTCTGTTCTGAATAAATTCCTCATTATAAAGTTGACTTTTGTAAATAATTCAAAAGGTCAAGAGGTTTTCGACCAGCTCCTAAGTTGTTATCCTATAATGTTGCTGTATTTCTATGTTAATTCAATTTAATAATGATGGGGAAAGATAATTTATGGTATTTAATGTCACCAGTAATAGTATACAGGTTTCAGGGTTTTTTGTCTTGCTTTATTCCAAAATATTAAATTGTAGCTGATGATTGTTTATTATTTTTCAGGCCATTAAGTGATCTGCCGCAGTCGTTTGTTGGTAATACTATTGATCATAAAACATTCCAGACCTCATATCTCAATCCACTAGCTACTACTAAAAACAATCATATTGTCGTCTTCCTACAGGATAAGGTAGATCTTTAACTTCTACTTTATATTTGTTATATTCATCTATCTAAGAGCTCAGTTCATTAGACGTTTGCTTAATATCCCAGGGGCCCAAAACAGTTTCTACTTTCACCTCAGTCAGTTCACGGCATAGATTTATATACTTATTTTATTCCCTCTGTCTAAAAGTTTGGTTAGCTTAACAGTTGCACAATGTCCTAGAGACCCAAAACAGTTTCACCTCAGTCAGTGTACGGCATATACATAGTCTCTACTTGTGTACTGCAGGAGAACTATCAATTTAAGTGGTAAAATGTAACTTAACTTCATTCTTCATTTCATCAAATAGGAACAAATAAGTTACATTCCATAAGAACAAAGACATCTGTTTTTATCAATCGTGGACTATATCTATAATTATAGAGAGAGTTAGTGGACTATATCTATAATTATAGAGAGAGTTAGTAGACTATATCTATAATTATAGAGAGAGTTAGTGGACTATATCTATAATTATAGAGAGAGTTAGTAGACTATATCTATAATTATAGAGAGAGTTAGTAGACTATATCTATAATTATAGAGAGAGTTAGTAGACTATATCTATAATTATAGAGAGAGTTGGTAGACTATATCTATAATTATAGAGAGAGTTAGTAGACTATATCTATAATTATAGAGAGAGTTAGTGGACTATATCTATAATTATAGAGAGAGTTAGTAGACTATATCTATAATTATAGAGAGAGTTAGTGGACTATATCTATAATTATAGAGAGAGTTAGTAGACTATATCTATAATTATAGAGAGAGTTAGTAGACTATATCTATAATTATAGAGAGAGTTAGTGGACTATATCTATAATTATAGAGAGAGTTAGTAGACTTTATCTATAATTATAGAGAGAGTTAGTAGACTATATCTATAATTATAGAGAGAGTTAGTAGACTATATCTATAATTATAGAGAGAGTTAGTAGACTTTATCTATAATTATAGAGAGAGTTAGTAGACTATATCTATAATTATAGAGAGAGTTAGTAGACTATATCTATAATTATAGAGAGAGTTAGTGGACTATATCTATAATTATAGAGAGAGTTAGTAGACTATATCTATAATTATAGAGAGAGTTAGTAGACTATATCTATAATTATAGAGAGAGTTAGTAGACTATATCTATAATTATAGAGAGAGTTAGTAGACTATATCTATAATTATAGAGAGAGTTAGTAGACTATATCTATAATTATAGAGAGAGTTAGTAGACTATACCTATAATTATAGAGAGAGTTAGTAGACTATACCTATAATTATAGAGAGAGTTAGTAGACTATATCTATAATTATAGAGAGAGTTAGTAGACTATATCTATAATTATAGAGAGAGTCGACTAAAGTCCAAACTTCATTCGGTATTACTATATAATTTTTTTTTTATATTTTCAGTTGAATATTGATGATTTTGCTAAATATGCTGATATCTATAATCCTTACAGTGATGGTGGAGCTTTTAAAAACATCAAGGTAGGGTTATAATCTTGACCTCTTATTATAGTGTTATTCTATGTGTTATGCCTACCAAACCTTCATTTTATACACTGTCCCAGTTAGATCTAGATAAAAGAAAAACCTGTCAAGAATCATTCAGAATAGTAGCAAGTAAAACTCCATTTCATTTACTATCTTTTGGCAATGCAGTTTCTTCTTCAACTTTGTTTAACTCTGTTTTTATCCTTTATAGGGTTTGATGGATGATCATTTCTCAGTACAACTCCCTGGTGTAAAAACACCCCAGGTTGCTTTAGATAAATTAAAATCAGAATTCAAAGACAGGCAGCACATCGTCAAATCACCATCTGATATAGCTGGACTAAAACTGGATGACAAGAGTTATCTTATCTTAGTTGTATTACCTGACACTAGGGCAGCGAGTAATGAAGAGAAAGCTTTCACTAAGAGTGGTAAGTCTATACTGTTTCTATTCTTATATG